TTACTCAAGCACTTAAGGGCGTTTTTAGTGCTTTCAGAAGTTTAAAGGCTCTCAGCCCTCACTTTCTTAGTGCTCTTTGGAGTTGTGACAGAGTCTTGTTTCATTAGAAATACAAATACAGTATTTCTGTTGTTACTTTGAAGGAGAATACTTCTGTTTTTCTTTTACCTCCATCACCCCTTTTCACTTGGACTTCAATTTATGCATGAATCAGACTAGTTCTATGTTCTCCGATTTTATAACTTTTTGTTGTTTGTTTTTTACTTCACTGAAAGTTGCATTGATTTTGTCTATATTTGCCTTTAAATCCTATTTGGAAGCTGCTTTTTTTTCTTATTTTTAACATCATTCTACCTAAACCAGTTTCCAATAAAAAATTGTGAGCTGTTGCAGGTGGAACCTAACCACATTACAAACTGGGCTTATAAGGAGCTTTGTATAAATCCGCAGTGGACAACCTGCAGCCTGAGGGCCGCATGCGGTTCTGTGGGTGGCCCATGAGACACTTTGTTTACCATTGCCCAAGTGCAGGGTTGCAGGATTCTCCTGGTTTCCCTACCATGTAGTTTTTTCTCTATGGACATTGCTAAGGTGACACTCAAATAAAGCAAGGACATGTGAAGTGAGGTGCATGCTGATTTTACACAATTGTGCGCTCCCTCAACATCCAGTCAAAGCATTGCTATGGTTCAGTCGACACACCCAGCAAATTATAGGTATGCAAGTAGGCTTGGCAAAACTACCCTATCCTGGGAGACCATCTTGGTTTTGACAGTCTTCCAGCCCATTGAGATGGAGAGCCAGTCATGCAGCCCACTCGCTACCTAGGTTGCCCATCACTGGTATAAACTGATAAAGACACCGTAAGAAAACATGAGGCTTGTGTAATTACAACCAGTTTTGGCTTCTGCATTTGTTTTCAGAGTTATAGTCTTTTTTTAATACTTGCACAAAAATAAATAATTTAGTTGCCATAAAATGGTTACAAGTACAGTTAGAATATTTTCATCCTTTCCATATAACTAATATCTCTTGTTGTGTTTTTAAAAGAAATTTGAAGAGAATTTGGTTTAAAATAGAGAGGGTTTTTTTTTCCAAATTGTTAATTGCTGAGAATATTGCACAACTTAATGATACATGGATGTCTCTAAGTATTAGCCATAAATCATGGGATTATGAATAAGTCTTAGTTGTCACAGGCTTGTGTATAATCATTCCAAAACGTTTGCCATTAGTATGCAGCAAGGCAGCTGTCAGCTGTTTTCTTGTAATTAAACAGCCAATGAGCAGCTAATTAAGACATATGTGTATACAGAAGTGGAAGAGGGTAAGCTAATGAACTGTAGGAATCAATTCATTAAATGAAAATTGTCAAAAGACCAAAACAGGAGATCAGCATTTCAACCTGTGCCTCTCTGGAAAGTGAGCCTATAAAGTGAGATTTGTGACATCAGGGAAGCACAATTGAATTTCTCTCCTCCTAAAGAAGGAACCAAAACCAATTCATCCGTAATACCCAGCCATTAAATAGTAAAGTTATTGAAACTATTAATAGGTTTGGTGAAAAGTGGTATTTACATTTCAAAGTTGCTTTTTAACAAGCTTGTCTTCAAGCTGACAAGCAGATGAAAAGTTCCCCTGCACTTTTTTCCCCAAACTTGATTTTTTGGCACTTTATGAAAACACGTACAGTGTGCTGTGTATAAACAGGCATTTGAAAGGCAGAGATGAAGCTAACTTTCAATTCTGCTCCTCTCTGTTCTGCTAGAACTATTTTAATCTGTATATGCAAAAAGAGACTTTAGGATGAGATCCTGGCCTCATTTCAAGTTGTTGGGAGTTTTTTATTGACTTCAGCGAGGCCAGCATTTCACTTTTGGTGTAGTATCAGAAGATCCTGAAGCAAATTATGCTCTCATTGATACCATTGTAAGCTTTTGGGGTCAAGATCTTTTCACTTTGTATCTTGGTACAGTGCCTATCACAATGGGGCTTGTAGAGAGGTCAGTCACCAGCAAGGGTATCCCTCATGACCAGGCATGGTGCAGTAGTCACTTTGACCCTAGAGTTCTTTTTGACAGCTTCTTTTTCCTCTCCTCATCTCTGAGTTCCAGTCTAGGGTCCCTGTAATAAGCAACTAAGTGCTGCATCCTCAGACTCACTGCTCTTTCCCAGCCCACTTCCTACTTTCATCTGCCTCCAGGCTCCTTTCCTCCTTTCTCCTTTGAGGATCTGGAGGATCTGGCTCCTTGCTCCATTTCCTGCCTGTTTGGGTCTGATCCCATTCCCTCCGGCTCAGTGACACCCACCTTCTGCCTGATCCGCAGGCTCTCATCCCAGCTGATCCACCAGGTAGGCACAGCTGGGGAGTTATCTGCTGTGTCTCTTGAACCCTTAGTAGATGTGACAGAATGGGTTTATACCCTCCAAGAAAGAACCTAACTTGGCTGTGATGTTGAGATACCACCACAACATAAATGATAGTAACTATAATTCAGAAAGCATGTAACTTCTAGCTGTCCTCCGTCAAAATTGTAACTGTATATTCTATTTTCCCCCACACGCTTGGTTTGTCCTGCAAGAAGGTTATGACTAACTCAGTGCCATTAACAAGTCAGTGCATATTGTACAAGAACGATGTAGATTATTGTGTATTATTTTCAAAGCAAATTCCAGAGAACAGTAATTGCTTATAATAAATCTTTGATAGGGTTTTACACTTACTTTTGTAATAATGTGAGTCTAAAGGGTTGAAGAGTTCTAAGATAATTGGCATAAATATATAATTAAGACCCTCATCATTATGAAGCAAAAAACAAACCCCAACTCAGATCAAATATGGGTGTTTTTTTAATCTAAATCTCCCTATCAAGAGCATTCCTAAGATCTGGGGAAGTTTGCTGTGCATTAAATCCTGGTGTTTGCGGGGGGGTTTTTCCAGGAGACACACATAGTTTAGCACAGTTGGTCTTTATAGCTAATGCAAACAGTGTACTTGTTTTAAACAACAAATGCTTTTAAAGGTCCCAGCTGTACAGTATATGGCATGGCTCTTCAGGCAGTGCTGCACTGTTGAAATTTAGCTGCAAGCTGTAACTTAGTTGATAAATTGTATATAAAATATACTGGGACAGATATGTTGTAGGACAAATCTAGAAAGAGCAAAAAAAAAAGCCCAGTAGTTTCTCAGTTCCAATACTGAAAAATAACTTACTCCTTGAAACCGATCCTCAGTAGCCATCCGCAGGCCATCCCTATATAAAGAGGCTTGAGGCAACTGTCAGTGTAGCCACTCACAACAAATTGCTCACCCAAAGTAAGGACTTCCAGAAAGAAGGCTCTCATTCCTCCAGTTGTATTATATGGATTATCCCTTCACTGGGTCCTAGGCAAATGTAGAATGCTAGGTCACTCTACTGGACAGATACGCTAGATGCTCCAGCAGCAAGAACACATTTGTATTAGCTGCATTCTGACTAGCATACCTGCACTAGTGATTTGTAGGGCTGTCAAGTGATTTTAAAAATAAATCGTGATTAATCATGTGCACTGCCCCTTTGAAATGCTGCGACGGTGTTTCCAATGGGCAGCGCTGTAGAAGCCCGGGATCAGCTGGAGTCCCTAGCCGACCCCAGGTGACCCCAGGTCCGTGCCTTGCTTTCCCTTTGGAAACGCCAGAGCAGTGTTTCCAACAGGCAGCACTGTGGGAGCCTGTGGTCAGCTGGAGTTCCCAGCTGACCCCGGGCACTGTGTAGTATTAAAAAAAAATGGAAAGGCACTTCATAGAGGCAGTGCAACGTGGAGCCAGGGATCAGCTGGGCACTCCAGCCGATCCCAGGCTCCTAATGCACTGACCCTTTGAAGTGCAGGAGTGGTGCTTCAAAGTGGCGTGGCAGCTTTAACGCCTGCTATTAACGCGTTAAAAAAAATAAGCGCATTAATCCTTCTGTGCATCAATCGCAGGCATTAATGCACATCAATTGACAGTCCTAGTGATCTGTTAACATAACACATGGGGCTCCTGTGACAGGGAATTTGCTTAGCTCACCTCTCCTATCCAGCTCAGTTTGTGACTGGCTTCTGCTGCCTAGACACTCCCCTATTTAATTCCTTCGTGTCTTCCCCCTCCGTTGTCTCCTGGGGCCAGACTCTCCACAGCCTCTCACCGTGTGTGCATCTTCCCATACTTGTAACAGCTCTTGAAACTGTTGCTGAGCCTTTCTGAGGAGTTATTTGCTCTGCAACATTGTTCATTAGTCCATTATGTGGTAACATTAAACTCAAATACTGTGTTCACATACCTAAAATGAACCAGCCAGGATCTTAAGGTGAGTCAATGGCAGAGCAGGAAATTCAACCAAAGAGACCTGATAACCAGGACTGTGTTGTAACCACTGCACACCCTGTCAGTGTATTTAATGTGTTCTTGTGGCTGTGATCCTGGTGACTGCCCATTATCCGGCATTCAGGAGAAAACAAAACACTTCACTGAGTGAAAAACTTACAGTAACAACGAACTAGAAAAAACAGCTCTTCCACCTCATCCTGAGCATATCACCTTCCAAACTGAGGGCAGCTCTGACTGTCCACCAAGATTTTTTTTCTGACGTACGTACGTGTGTGTGTGTGTGTGTGTGTGTATACACAAGCATGTGCACTTCTGTCCCCCCCCTTTCTCTGTCACTATGCATCAAGGTCTGTCATCCTCCCATCCAAAAAGGACTTTCTTATAAGGTCTGTCTTTCTTATATTTATGTTAGCAAAGTATATTGGAGTATCTGTGAAAATAAAAAAGAAATGTGTAAAGTCCTGCCTCAGATTAAATGAAAAAATATTTTTTTTAAATAAATCATTTTTCCTCAGGAAAAAATAACTTAGCTCTTTAATTTCATGAATAGACTCCTCTTAAACATAATTTTCTATTAAGTGAGAATACCATTCAGAATTTTGCCTACTAATCAGCGACTAATAGCACCTTGTACTTGGCAATTCTGTTACAGGGCTTTTTCAGGAGGAGTCAGCAAAGCAATGCCACATACTCCTGTCCTCGTCAGAAGAATTGTTTGATTGACCGAACTAGTAGAAATCGCTGCCAACACTGTCGATTGCAGAAATGCCTTGCTGTGGGGATGTCTCGAGATGGTGAGTCCAGGGCTGCTGCTAGTCCAGGGTTGGCATGTATGAAATATTATTTTATACATATTTTGTCTGCTCATTGTAATAACGTAGGACTTTACAATTACTGACTGCTATGTTCATATCTGAGAAAACCCCGTGGCTTTTACGTACTGTGTTCTATAATGAAAATGTCGGTGTTATCAGAGAGCTAAAAGTTATTTGTTTTTTTTTCCTCTAACTTACCTAACATTTGCCCCAAATGCTCATTACACCCAGATTCTTATTGTTGCATGTAAGAATCTAATAATCAGATCGGTACCGACCTGCATTATTTACAGTTTACAGATGAGTCAAATATTTGGCTATGTATAATGTGTGAGAGTTGAAGAGTAAAGTTGAAGAATGAAAATACTTAAAATATTTTTTCTAAGCAATGAGAACAACCCGATAACTTCCTTTAGTCGTGATAGTCAATGTCAAAATTTTAAGTGTTCTCAGTACTAAACCCACCTTATATGCCTGCTTGACGTCTTCTATGCATATTAAATGGAGAGGAGATATTTCATGTCACGTTTTAAGGACATTACAGAATACAAGGCCAAACTCGCAACTAATGTGGATGAGTTGCATCTCCATTGATTTCACTGGAGCTGCAGCCGCATATACCAGCTTGAAGGTCTGGCTCAGTCTTTCCTCAGTTAATACTATCAGCAATGTTCCACATTCATAATCCCAAATGTTCTGAAAACCCTTTGACATATTTTTCATGTGCAATTAAAAGTCTGACTGTTACTGAAAATCTCTAACCTAACTGGTGTAGGTTTTTTGGAGTTGCATGACCTGCTACAGAAACACGTGCTGATAGTCTTCTTCCCAAAAACAGGAAGCCTTTAAAGCTGATATAAATCCCAGAAAATGTATAGCATATTCTTAGGAATCACTGTAATAGGCAAAGCCACTGATAAGCCAACAAAAGTCTTTTTATTTGTATGTGCAAATTCATGAATACATCTTTTCATGCAGTATATTTATCTTATGGATTTATTTACTATAAATCATTGAATACTTTTTTGTTTCACACTGACAGCCTTGAAACATTGATAAATGTCAGTTGTCATAAGCTGGCTCAATAGTTTTTTCATGTGCCTCAGTCCTATAAAGCTTGCTATTTGAGCCTCTTCTGGACAGAGCCCACCAGTTTATACCTAATCATGTATTGGCTGCATTTATTTGTGTACCACCAAATTTCATTGTTCCTTGTTTTCTACCAGCAATTTTTGCCTGGATGTTGTAACTGTGATGTCAGTGGAAGTGTACCTAGGATGAATATGATCTATTATCCATACAGTTAGAGAACTAATGAACTACCAAAATAACAATAAAAGTAAATGGTTAAATTAAATGTTTTATTGAAACTACCATTTAAACAATACAAAATGAAACAGGAAATGTGGTAGTTAAGCTGTGGGTTTCCTGTAGGTTCCTGGAGATATTTTCACAGATCTAGGTTTTCGTAACGTGTTTATCACTGGTAACTAAGTACTCGTGATGGTTATAGTGCAGTGGCAGTGTATGGAAATAAAGTGTATTCTTGTATATATATTTCAGCTGTAAAGTTTGGTCGAATGTCAAAAAAACAGAGGGACAGCTTGTATGCGGAGGTGCAGAAACATCGAATGCAGCAACAACAGCGAGATCACCAACAACAACCTGGAGAGGCAGAGCCACTGACACCAACATACAGTATCACCACCAATGGGCTAACAGAGCTACATGACGACCTCAGTAATTACATTGATGGGCATACCCCTGAAGGTAGCAAAGCAGACTCTGCAGTTAGCAGCTTCTACTTAGACATACAACCTTCTCCAGATCAGTCGGGTCTTGATATTAATGGAATCAAACCAGAACCAATATGTGACTACACACCAGCATCGGGCTTCTTCCCTTATTGTTCTTTTACAAATGGGGAGACCTCGCCAACTGTGTCCATGGCAGAATTAGGTAATAAGAGAGAAAAGTTTCCATTGTAATGCTTTAATAATACCCTTTGGATTCAAAGTAACACATTTAGCTTTCTGTGAATTCTGCTCTAAAATTATACACACAGCTCTGCTGTTTTGATACAGCTGTAAGAACAGTTCCATGACGCACTCAGCACCCTGAATTTCATCTGGCATTTGTTGGCACTAGACACCATACAGAATCAGACCAGCAAATCCCACTGGCTCCTCGCTGGTAGTATTTGAGTGGTTTCCCATGATTTAGAATCCTAGTTGAACCTTGAATGCCAGCAGTTAGTTTAAACTCATTTTTTAGATTTGGGCAAATACTATTCCGTGAGTGATTTATTTGATGAAGAACAGCATCTGCTCCCAGCTCTACTCCGTTTTCCAGCATAAAATGAGCAGGCCTGGTTCTCTACTACTTTGGTGTCGTTTGCACCTGCTCCAGGTGGGTCCCGAGTGCTATTTTAATCCTATGGCTTTTTATACTCAGTGTACTCATGTGACTCCAGAAACTACAAATTGGAGGAAAATCGGGTCCCAAATTCATCAGAGAATGAATTCGAGGAAGATCTGTTAATTTCCCTAGCGCCCTTTTAACAACAGTTCTACTTAATATGTTTTGTCCTACATTTTTTCTCCCTGAATGTCATCTTGAGTACTAAACTCCACAAAACTCCGAGTTGCAAAAGGACTTAAGAAGGGCTCTGAAAAGTGATTTGCCAGCGTTACACAAATGGTATTTAAATCCCAGTTTTCATAGTTGAGCAATGTAGGGTTTTAAAATATCTGCTTTGTTTATTTCCACAACATTCATGATAAATACTCATTTACAACATCAGTAAAAGATGTATTTTTTTTTTTAAAAAAAGCATACTCATTGACAAGTCAGCGTATCACAAGTTTGATTCCCTCATCCCCTTTTTTTTTAATAGACATGAAAACTGATTTTTTGAAACTCCTGTTTGAAGTCGTCCTCTGCTTATGGAACCAAGTTTGCTGCGATGCATTTTGTTATAACTTTACAACCAGAGGATTATGTCCCTGTTTCAATTCAAATAAACTGAGTCTTAGATAAGTAAAAATGAAAAGAAGAAATATGAAAATAAAGACTGTCAGCAGCTTTGTCTCAGCCAAATGGTTGTGTGTGGTTTCATGGGTGGTTATTAAAGGATAACCCAACATAGGCAAGGAATTGAAAGCTGCCTTATCCTAAGTGAGATGCTGAGTTTGAAGCCTGGCTTAAAGTAATGATTTATTACATTCTTCCCCATTTTAATATGATTTGGCTAGCCAACATGGACAGGGCTATACACTGTAATAACCATATTTAAGTATTTTCCAAACTAGGGTCCCAATTCAGGAAATATTACTTTCCTGAAAAAAGGATATAGACAGATGATTAAATACTTTTCTGAATTGAGGCCTAGACTTGTGCATAGCACCTTTGTCAAATCTAGCCCTGTGTATCTTGCAAATACACCCTCACCCTGGGCTTCCAGATGTTGTCTGGATTCTGATGTTGTTTTTAATGATATGTATGAAATTGCTGCTGGAGCAACTATTATTTTATGGTCTATATTGTGCAGTTTAGATGGTGGATGTGACACAAGCTTTTATTAACGATTGTAATTTAAACCTGTAGTGCACTTGAGAGAAGGCTTCACATAGCCCATTTAGCATGATGTGAAACAACCTGTTTTCTGGTGTGAATTTATTAGTTGAAGACTTTGTTTCCCAAGCAAACATACACATGCAGTTTTTACAGAAAAGCTGGCTTAAGAGGCCTTAAAAGAAGAGTTAGATTCATTATAGGGCCAGAGCTCAGCCAGAGAAGGCACTAATTGCAGAACTGTGCAAGCTGGACTGGGGTTTGCTCTTTGATCGATCTCTTTCCTTGAATAGGAATGGGCAGGGAGGCAGGTTGCAAGTCTAAGGGCAAGTTTTTTAGGTGTCTGTTTCTGAAAAACTTCACCAAAAATATATACAAATCTATTATCAATGAACCATTCAGATGTGTTTTAACGAAGCATATTATCAAAAGAAGGATTCCTTCTTGAATGAATATATTGTATGTAAACTTCCATCATGTAGAAATGGCTACACTACTACTTTAAAAGTAAGGGTAATTTGAGACTTCATTCGTATTGTTTTTAATTATCTTGGTTCTCTAAAGTGTTTTATACCAAGATTTCTTTTTTAAAAATCAGGCCTAGAGAAAAGAAACTCGCCTTTCGCAGGTAGTCGGTCTCTATGTTGCAGTGCTCCAGCTGGTATCTAACATTCCTTTTTAAATAAATCATTTCTCTTATTTCAAATGCCCATGGATTTAGTTTTGGAGGAAGATGCTGGTTTGACAGCCCCGACCAGACATGTTGTTTGTTTATGGAGCAGCTTACAGCACCAGCAGGGCTGTCATCATCCCACCTTCACTACTTTGCCTCCACCCTAAACTGATGGGCCCATTGACTCCTGGGCCTCTCTTCTGTAACTCCTAAGAAGGAGTTTAACTTTTGGCTCCAGGTTTCAATGTCAATAACAACACCAAGACCTGCAGCCAGTACATTACATTTAGAGAGAGATGAAATTGTGAGTTTGCAGATCCCAAAGCTTTCTCAAGTCCTCGTGCTTTCAAATGGGGTTTCTTCTCTTAAAACTGAGTAGGCAACTATGGCTCCTAGAGAGAAGAGCTGTTTCTCTCAAATCTCAATATGCCTACTTCAGCCCTTGTTCACCTAGACATCATAACTAAGCTTTAAGTTAGTAATGAACTAATAAAGCAGCATGGTTATTATTCATTGTGGTTCATGAAACTTTTCTATGCCTGCACTTGTGAAAGTAACATACTGTACGTAAATGGGTATACACTGCCCTCTACTGGCTGGTTTCCCATCGCTGTCAAAGCTATTAGGATATGTAAACACTGCAGGAGTATTTTATTGAGTTTAAATCAAAGGTGATTTCATCTAGCTAGTTTGGATACCAATAGCAGTTTAGCTGCAGCAGGCCAGGACACTAGGCACTTACTCAGGTGGCTAGCCAGCACTAGAGCCTATGCTGCTGTGGTTTAACTGCTAATGGTGCCTGGACTAGCAAGATTAAAGCTAGCTTGGGTGTGTCTGCATGTGCTGCAATCACACATCCAATTGCCATATAAAGAGCCCCTTACAGTAGGCCTACGTTGCACCTAGGAGCCTGCCTGCCAGCCCAGGTAGACAGATTCATCCTACCTCTGCTTGAGCTACTGCACTAAAAATAGGAGTGTGGATGTTACAGCAGGAGCAAGGACCTGGGTTCAAGTTCAGGTGGCTAGGCTGAGCTGCTCACCCACCACAACATCCATGCTGTCTACTTCCATGTGCTGGTTTGAGCAGAAGTAGCATAGTGTGAGGTTCAGAAACGGGCAACAAAAATGATTAGCAGTTTGGAACGGGTCCCATGTGAAGAGAGATTAAAAACTTGGACTTTCAACTTAGAAATGAGGAGACTAAGTGGGGATATGATAGAGGTCTATGAAATCATGACTGGTGTGAAAAAAGTGAATAAGGAAAAGTAATTTATTTTTCCTCACAATATAAGAGGGGTGACCAAAGGAAATTTTTCTTCACTCAGTGCACAGTGAACCTGTGGAACTCCTTTCCAGAGGATGTGGAGAAGACTAAGGCTACGTCTACACTGCAGGCTTCTTGCACAAGAACTGTTTTGCGCAAGAGTTTCTGCACAAAAATTCTTGCACAAGAGCGAATCTACACTGTCATGTGCTTTTGCGCAAGAGCATCCATGGCAGTGAGGATGCTCTCTTGCGCAAGAAAGCTCTGATGGCCATTTTAGCCATAGGGGTTTCTTGCGGAAGAAACTCCTGTTGCCCGTCCACACTGCCTTCTTGCTCAAGAGAGCATCCGCTCGTGGGGAGAGGAATAACTCTTGCGCAAGAAGCCCTCTTTTCCAATGCTTTACTGTAAATGTACTTGCACAAGAACGCATGTGCAGTGTAGATGCTCCGCAAGTTTTTGCGCAAGAACAATTGTTCTTGCACTAAAAGCCTGCAGTGTAGATGTATCCTAAGACTTTAACGGGGTTCAAAAAAGAGTTAGATAGATTCATGAAGATTAGGACCATCAATGGCTATTAGCCAGGATGGGTAGGAATGGTGTCCCTAGCTTCTGTTTGTCTGGAAATGGATGATGGGAGAGGAATCACGTGATGATTACCTGTTGGATTCCCTTCCTCTGGGGTCATCTTTGGTATGACCTAGTATGGCCGCTCTTATGAGTCTATCTAGCTGGGCTGGCAGGCCTGCTCCCACCTGTAGTATACACATACCCTTAGGAACCAGGATTTTTTTTTATTTGTATCTTTTTTGCAAATGTCATGCAGTGTTTTTCAAAAGGACAAGCCACGGTGCTATATCAGAAAATAGATTAAGGTTCTTTTCATAATAACTAATGTTTCTAATCGTAATTTCAGCACTTCACTCCTCTGCTGGACAGAAATCATACAGGGATTGCTTCGCTCTTTTAATGCATGCCACTTCTTGCTCTCTCTTTTAGAACATCTTGCACAGAATATTTCAAAGTCACACATGGAAACTTGCCAGTACTTGAGAGAGGAGCTACAGCAGATAACATGGCAGACTTTTCTTCAGGAAGAAATTGAGAACTACCAGAACAAGGTATGCTAAAATGCCAAAATAATACTATTTAGGCCTTATGGTGTTTTTAAGGATGTTAATTTTCTTGTAGCATTCTGTAAACTATTACATTCAGCTTTTTCATTTTTTTTCCTATTCCAAGTAGGAAATTTTGATTGATTTGTATTCAGGAGAGAAGTATGTTATTTGCATCTTTAACATGTCACTAATAATAAGCTGTAATGAAAAGTTGCAAGTGGGTTGTGATTACGCTGGATTTCACACATGGGCTGTGTCTACACTGGCCCCTTTCCGGAAAAGGGATGCTAATGAGACACTTCGGAATTGCAAATTCCGCGGGGGATTTAAGTATCCCCTGCGGCATTTGCATGAACATGGCTGCCGCTTTTTTCCGGCTCGGGGTTTTGCCGGAGAAAAGCGCCAGTCTAGATGGGATCTTGCGGAAAATAAGCCCTTTTCCGGAAGATCCCTTATTCCTACTTTCAAGGAATAAGGGCTTATTTTCCGCAAGATCCCATCTAGACTGGCGCTTTTCTCCGGCAAAACCCCGAGCCGGAAAAAAGCGGCAGCCATGTTCATGCAAATGCCGCAGGGGATACTTAAATCCCCCGCGGAATTTGCAATTCCGAAGTGTCTCATTAGCATCCCTTTTCCGGAAAGGGGTGCCAGTGTAGACACAGCCATGGGGTTTTTGCAGGTGTGATTCATAGTCCTGATTACTTGTGTTTAAAGAACAAGGCTTAGGAAGAACCTATCAGTGCCACCCCAAAATGGTAGAATAAGTCTCTGGATTAGTGAGAGCAGTGCTCCCTATGGCTAGGTCTTGTTTACATTTCTGTTGCTTAATTTTTAATATACCCAGGCAAGAAAAAAATCTAGAAGGACCAGACTCAGAAAACCCCAGATTGGTTGCTACTGGGTTCTTGTCATCCATGTCATACTGCTGAGCATGTATGTGAGGACAGATGGGCTGTTTTGTCTTTCCTATGTTGACCTCACACTGTATCAATAAGTGGCCTAGTATCTTGATGCAGTATTTCAAATCCCAAACACTCAAGTATCATGAGTCAAGTCCCAAAAAATCATTGATTTAGCTTAAAAAACATAAGATTTGGGGCTTGTTTTTAATTCTGTTTTTTTAATCTTTTAAGTTTTCATATTTTCAAAGTTTTCTCCACAACAGGCAGGCTGAGAGGGGTGACCCCCCCCCCCCCTTTTTTTAAGTAAGTCTGAGATTCTCTCAGACTGGTTTGTCTCCACTAGTGCTTTAATAAATGTATCAAATATCGTGAGACTACAGCTAAAATCTTGAAGTTGGCAATACTGTTAATAAAACTGAAGTTTGGATAAAAAGTTATCTAGATCAGGCTCAATCAAGAATCTGCATGCAAACAGATTGCAATGTATTACCCTGGGGTCTATTTCAGCATTGTTGCTTTCCCAGGTTCTCTTTTAGAGCATGTGTTTTGGAGTACCTATGTGTAATCCGATGTTGCAATGTCTCTTTTGTTTGTGCATTTGGCCTTGTCTTGTGTAATGGGAGATGTACAGGTTGTGCTGCCCGAAGAGAAACCTTGGGAAGAAACTGGCTGTCAGCCAGTCAGAATGGGGATAGTCTGTTCTTGGAGAAAGTGGCAGGTCTACTGGGCGGGACCAGTACCGTAATCAGTAGTCAACCAAAGTTAAAGGTCCAACTAGAAGGCAGGAGCTGGGTACCAGAGTCTTGGGTAAAACTGGAGCCTATACTTCCAAATACTTGTTCCCACTAGCTACCCTGCCACTGTCTCAAGCTTCTCAATACCCATATTAAAAACTAACTCAAAGCATTCACTTAAGTGTTGGGTCAAATCTAAATTCTTTAATCCTTTAATCCCATCCTCAGTAGTTAGCGGCCCCACTTTTCCTTCTTTCTTTTCTTTTATATGCCTAAAGAACCTTTTGGTAAGATTCAACCCCTCTGGCAGCTCAGGTGCATTGGCCAGAGCTTTGGGAAGTGCAGCAGAGATCTTCTTAATATTTTAAGATCCTCTTAATACTTTATTTAAATTTAGTAGGAAACAAGAGTAGTCAGGAAGAAACATAAAATTGCTTTTGAGAGCTTAGTTATGTCTTTTGGGTCCAGTTCTGCCTTCTGTTGCATTCATACAAATCCAGTGTAGATCAACGGAAGTGGTACCTAAGCATTTGAGGGAAGATTTTTTTTCCCTTGAAACAAGAAATCCTAGCCTAGATCTCAGTGCCAATGGTAAATTGTTTTTAATTATATTTACATATGTTTTTAAGAGGTTTTACCCTCTCCACCTCCTAAATTTTACTCATGAATGCAAGCAAGGGTTTCGGGCTCTTGCTTTGCTTTTCAGCTTCATTTTCCTTTTTGAAAAGGGGCTTATACAACCTTGAATAGTGATTTATTCCTTTCTCTTCAACAGCAGAGGGAGGTAATGTGGCAGTTATGTGCAGTCAAAATAACAGAAGCTATACAGTATGTTGTGGAGTTTGCCAAACGCATTGATGGCTTTATGGAACTGTGTCAAAATGATCAAATCGTGCTTTTAAAAGCAGGTATGTTGGCAAATTCTGAAGCCTGCTTCTAATGAGCTTTTAACCTAGGGAAATGCTATAGAAGTAAAAGCCAGTTTTGACTTCAGATATTTCCTTGTGTGTCTTTCGGTACAAGCTAACAAGTGTTACAGCTCTTTCGTGGATATATGTGTTCATCTTAGATGTTCTGGATGGAAGTATATATATCTCTGTGTGGAGCTTCCATTAGAAACAGTGAAAATACGGAGTACAAATGGCTTAGTCAAGCACTTAAAATAGATTTCTGATTTGTTTTGATAAATGAATAGCTCTTTTCCACATAAAAGTTCAGACTTTGACATAGGGAAGATCTAGAAATCACATGGTTTATAAATTAATGGAGAAGTTCTTATATGTTTACTGCATAGATCCAAATTAATTCCCTTGACTTTAATGGAATTACACTGGATTTACTCTGATGTAACTAACTTTAGAGATCTTTAAATACTGATGGTAAATCAAACCATTTTCTGTTATAGCTGCAGAAACCCCTATTGTACTGGAGCTATATTGAATGCAGCATATATTACATTTTAAAATCTTTAAAAAAAATATTCAATTTATTCTTTGTAACTGAAATCCTAATTTAAATAATAAAATTCATGTATTGTTTTCATTTAGGATCTTTAGAGGTTGTGTTCATCAGAATGTGCCGTGCCTTTGACTCCCAAAACAACACAGTTTACTTTGATGGCAAGTATGCTAGCCCAGATGTTTTCAAGTCATTAGGTAAGGAAATCTCAAGTACTCTGCATAAAAACATACAGAAGAGAGGCTAGAAACTAAAAGAGGACCATATATATATATTTAAAACAGACTGGAACTTAACCACTGTGTTAGACATATAAAGGAAAAAGTTTAAAGTTAACTAAAAATCTAGATAGTCTTGGATTGCTTATAATGTAAGACGCTGTGGGTCCACTTCTGAGACTTGTCTGACTACATTTGGCGGCCAGTTGAGATTAATGGAAATTGAATTCATGTAACAGAATACAGAATTGGGCCTTTGGTGTTCACATCAGCCACCCAGAAACTTGTTTGAAACAGGTCAGTGCTAATTTGAATACACATCCAGTTTACGCACCCAGGTTTGATAATAATATTTGCGACATTCTAACTATACAGAAAAGCAGGTTCCTGGGTGTTATCCTTTCAAGGCTGCTGGTCTTCTTTTTAATTTTCAAGATCATATGTACACAAAGATGAACATAACATTGGTGAGAAATTATTGGAAGAAGATGACTTGAATAATGGATTTTATTTCAATTTCTTAGCAATTTGTCTCTTGACTTTTGTGCATATTTTTGCCTATTTTTATCTGGGTGGTATTGTTAAGTTTGTTCATGGGGTGTAAATTGAGTACATAACATTGAGTGGTGAAGGATAATATGGCAGTGAAGAACCTGCTGTATCATTTTACAGATATTCTGTGCAAATTGAAACATCCAAAGGTACAAATTATGGACATGAATAGTTGAGAGAGTAATATCATATGTGGGCCGCTAGTTGGACTCCACTGAAATACACTTTCACCCATAACTTTTCATTACCTTTTCTCCATAAGCACCAAAAAGTCTAAATCAGGGTGGTGTATAAGACCTGCAGAAGGAAAACCCTGTTCCAACAAATCTTCAAAAGCCCTTGAAAGCAGGGCTTCCCTCCTGCACGTTGCAGGAAGCATGTGTGATAGCTGTGGTAATCTGAGTTGTATCTGCATTGCATAGAAGGTGGAATGGAAAGGAAGAAGTGATGGGGAGGCTCCTATCCACATTACAATCTTGCAGCACTCTGCTTTTCCCTGTCCTCTCTTCTTTCCTTATGTTCCCTGTGCCTTCTTCTTTGGCTGTCTCCTCCATCCTATTTCATTTGTCTTCTGGTGTAGGTTCCCATGCATGCCATTTCATCATTGTTTTCCCACCCCATTTGTGTCCTGTCTTTTTGCATGTGCCTTTTCCTCTTGGATCTCATACAACTAGACCCATTTCAGTATTGGGAGCCACCCTTTCCTAGATCAGGATAGTCCATGTCTGTTAGGTTCCCAACCCATTATGCGCAGGCTTTTCCCCCTACAACTGTCCCATCCCATTTCTCATCCTTATTCCTTCACCTTCTAGTATTCCCCAGAAGCTAGAACCAGATGGAGATCATTTTATTTTTATGAACATATAGCACAGTTACTCTCAATAAACTTTAAAACCACTTCTAAGCATTTTCCTGCATCCTTTCCCAAAAATACCAAAGGCACTTCCTTCATCAACAAAACAAAACCTATTTTAAAATTTTAGGCCAACTTGTTTAGAGATCAAGTCAGCAAAAAAAAAGGTTGATATTTGGAAAATGTAGTGGTAGTTTACTTCTATGAAATAACTTTAGGTTATAAATTATCTGCTTTTTAACAAACTTATTAGAAAAAGATAGGGGAAAGTTGGAGGTATATAAAAGAGGGTTCATTTTGGGGTACTAGCTTCAACTAGCTACAATATAACTACCACGAAACCGTTCTACTTTAATGAGAGGATCCCAGGTCTTGTAGATATTTCACATCCATTAGTCTCCTCCCTCAGAATAATATAACTATCCCATCACCTTGAAGCAGTCTCATCAGAAGTCCTGACTGATACATACCTTCTTTTGGCAGGTTGTGAAGACTTCATTAGTTTTGTGTTTGAATTTGGAAAGAGCTTATGTTCTATGCACCTGACAGAAGATGAGATTGCTTTGTTTTCTGCATTTGTTTTAATGTCTGCAGGTAAGATGAAAAAAATCACTCTACATTTGTTTGACGGCATCTAGTGATTCTTTTATTATGGTGTATGCCTTAAATCTGATAGCCAACTCATAAACATGACTACATTTAGCCACTTTTTTGTATGCCCCATCCCTAACCATTACTATTCTAGATTGTACTTTAACAAATATATTTAAACAGTGGGTGCAAGGGTATCTTGCTAAAATGATTCATCCTAATACATGTCCAAATTTTGTTGCTCTTAGTCCTTGTTGAGTAATACATGTCATTGTGAGCCGTCCCATTGAAATTATGGAGCTTCTAGAGCAGTAAGGTATTACCATGTGAACCAGGGAGTCAGGTGTCCTTTGGTTTGTAGAATGAAATGATCATGCCATTTGTCAGCTCAAGAGTATGTAGTATTGTGTTAAGAACCCCTAAATTGTTTGATTCTGCCATTTTAGCAATGTCAGATGTAGTGCTCCTTGTTTGCCAAGAAGTGCACAGAAATGATTTCTTTTAAATATGTTTATCTTAAAGCTATTTGTTTCAAATTTTTCTGTGTCCAACAAAGGTCCTTTTGTTAGTCATTCATTACATACTCGAGTCATCTCTAGAATGAAGATATTGTTAGCTTAATTTTGTCTATTCTGTAATACAGAGTCTTATTAGCATGTGATAGAAATGTAGCCGTGTTAGTCTGGGGTAGTTGAAGCAAAATGTGACACACAAGCATAATTCAAGCTTCCTGAGATCCTCTAATATTGCCTGTATAAAACTCCATTGCAATGGAAGGGTGCTTGGCAACAGAAAAGATGAATATAGCATTGACTCTTAGAACATTTCTTTTTCAAGTCGTGATGCCAGTGTGCAATACCAGAGCTATTTATTTCCTTTGCATTTAGATCGTTCATGGCTTCAGGAGAAGGTAAAAATTGAAAAACTTCAACAAAAAATCCAGCTAGCCCTTCAGCATGTCCTGCAGAAGAATCACCGAGAAGATGGAATTCTAACAAAGGTGAGCACCAAAAACTGTGCCTTATGCTCTGAACATAAAAGCACACTACACTAGTAACAGCAGCACCACTACTGTTTGAGTAACAGCTCTCATCTGACCTTTGCATCCCTCTTCCTTTCCTGGCTTGCTTGTTCAAAATACACCCTACTTAGTTTCAACCACTTCCTCTCAGAACCTACAAGAGGAACCTAAGGTTGAGATAGAGGGAAGAGAGAATTAGAATGATTAGAGAAATGTAATTTTAAGTTTTGAGCTTCATGAAAAGCCATTAAGTGTCTCCTCTCTTTACACTTTCCTTCTCTGTTCCCCCAAGTATCCTGTGAATGTTTCTGCCACTCATTACTATTTCAGACCTACTACAGAAATGGAATTGGGCCCCATAAAATCCCTGATGTTTACTGGTTTCCTCTCTTTGAATCAGTCAAACAAGTACATCTTTAAACTACTAACATTCATCTTCAAGTAAAACAATCAAGATTAAACTAAAATGGTTGAAGGAGCTTTACTCCTATCAGCAACATTAGCAAACAGTGCCTGTTTTGTGTATGACTGTTTTTCTCGTGTGTGTCTGTGTGTTTTTTTCCAGTTAATATGCAAAGTGTCTACTTTAAGAGCACTGTGTGGACGGCATACAGAAAAACTTATGGCATTTAAAGCAATATACCCAGACATTGTGCGACTTCATTTTCCTCCGTTGTACAAGGAATTATTCACTTCAGAATTTGAGCCAGCAATGCAAATTGATGGGTAAATATATCGCCTAAGCACTTCTAGAATGTCCGAAGTACAAACATTTAAAAAAAAGAAAAAAAAAGAAAATCAAGACACTTTATATGGCCCTGCACAGACCTAGGGAGCCAACACACTGCACATCTTTTTGGCAGTTGGGGGTCAGGCAAAGGATGGGAAACAACGAAACAAAGTTGAACTTGCTTTTCTCATGCATATGATTTCCATTATGCCTACAAATATGGACCCTTTTTCTGTCTCAACTTCTCGATCTTTGACCTCTGTTTACACAGAATGAGGGTACTAAACTCAGAAGGTTTCTTTTTTCCTTGTAGTTCACTGCCCACAGACTTTCAACAGAACAATCAATTTGTTGATCACAGCAGAGTCCAGCGACTGGTGTGTACTGCAGAGGTTTCAGCATCAGTTTGCACAACTTGCTCATTGTTTCATGAAGGACAATTTTTTTCATCTACCATTGATTGCCAGTAGGCAGAATGGCACGAAAAGGGTCCATAGCAATAGCAACAATAGCATTATAATATATTACAGGGTAAATGGGCATGAAGACTATATATAGCAAAAGAGATATTGTTTATATATTGTTTTAATTAATATAAAAAGTAGTTACTGGTATAGCTTTTCTTGTTGAATTGATAAGGCACTTTCATTTTGCACCTTTTTCTTTAAATTAAATGCTAGCGTGTTCACTGTCGTGTTGCATGTGCACCAGAAATTCAAGTTTAACTGAAAAAGAATTGGAAGGTACTGATACATTGGGAGGTGTTTATGCTGCTGTTTTCAACATTACTTTTTGAGAGAGGCTGGTCACATCCTGAAATGATGATTTTTAGAGTTTTGAAAAACATGAACATTTTCTAAAATCAAATGAGCTTTTCAGCTGCTTTTTAAAAGGGTGCTTTTATTTTTATACAAAACCCAAAAGTTTCAAAACTGGGTGTTTAAAATCACGTCTAAATGCATATTTAGACTCGGAAATAAAAAGCCCTGATTTTCAAAAGTGCTAAGCAGCCGCAGCCAAGAATTTGCTGAGCATCTGCAGGTTAAACACAGCTACAAGTGCAAAGCACCCTTGAAAATCAGGCCATTAATTGTGGCATATAGATATGCATGTTCAACTGTATGAACCCAGATCTGAAAATGTTGGCCAGAATGTGATATATGTGTATATACATAAATATAAAACAATTTGTGTATGTTATATACACTTTTTACATACTTTTAAATTCCATGTGCTAAACAATGCTGTTAAAAACCCTAGTCCCATTGAAGTCACTGAGAATTTTGTTAGCTTCAAGCTGTTTTCCAAAATCCAGCACAGCACAAGAGAGAAGTTATTTGCTTTTAGAGCACACATGTATGGCTCTGGAAACACCTACATTAATTTGGACAGTAATACTCTGTCTAATGAATGCAAACTGATAAAATAAAGGCACAGTCTTTTGGTAGAAAACAGGCATGTTATATTCTGCATAAAGCCTTGAAATCACGAGTGGACTTATAGGATGAACAGAAGATGATGAACCTGAATTGTGTAATTCTAAAAGTGATTGTGATCCATGCATCATACTAACAAGGGGCTAGATTTTACAGTATTTACTTATGCAAATTATTGTTCCCTTTTCAAGGAGTTTTGCCTGAGTTTGGATGGCAGAATTTTGTCCCAAAGGAGGAGTAAAGTTAAATTTTAAAATAAACTAATTCTGAATGAGAGAGCCATATTAAACAACAAATAAGGCTAAGTTATCTAGTTTGGATGAAAAGGGAGCCCTCCCCATCTTTATTTGTAATGGTAGTTTTAGGATTGCAGCCTGATCTTCTAGCTCAATTGAACCAGAATGTTAATCCAATAATTATTCTTTGGTTTCCTCTGCCCCCAGTCAGCCTCAGTATCTTTCCCATAGTACTATGAGATTTAATGAAACCTGACAGGAGAGTGGATAACGTTTGTTTTATTTGGAAAGCCAGAGAGAAAACATAGTAAAATACCCACTTTAATGAATCATTTTGGACTAAATTTATCCACTGATTAGAAAGTAAGAGAAACAATATTTCCAGATTTGATGTGTTCTGTATTTATTAATGTAATCCCCAAACTTTTAGTCCCCAGTTGTTTACACCCATGTTAGAAGTGTTAGGCAATTATGGCTTGTCTGAAATGACATGTAACAGTCACTGCAAAGCTGGAACCACCTCCTTTGGCAGTAACTGGGGTGTTGAATTGGGACAAGAACAAAATGAAACTTTGCATTTTCCCACAGACAGTTCCTGAAAGTTATTGTTGACATATTGGAGTAGCACCTAAGGCAGGGGTAGGCAATGTGTATGGGGGTTGGTTCACCAGTGTTAGCCCCTGGTGGTTCACTGCCATGATATTTACCTGCACCTCCACAAGTACGGGTGATCGCAGCTCCCATTGGCTGGGAACAGCGATCCATGGCTAACGGGAACTGTGATTCCCCTATACCTGTGGAGGCACAGGTAAATACTACATTGTGGGGGCCTGCCAGAGGTTAACCCTGGCAGACCAGATGTGACCTGTGAGCCAGTATTTGCCCACCCTGACCTAAGGGCGATCACCATTTTCTGCTAGATCCAATAAAGGACAGCTGCTGCCCCAAATACCTTATGAGGTGGCTGGCGGCATGCTCCAAAATGAGTGTGAGATCATGTTGTAATTGTTTTTAATTAATGGAGAGTGCCTATCTCCTAGAACTGGAAGGGATCCCATCAAATCCAGTCCCCTGCCTTCACAGCAAGACCAAGTACCATCCCTGGCAAATTTTTGCCCCAAATGGCCTCTGTAAGGATTGAACTCACAAGCCTGGGTTTAGCAGGCTAATGCTCAAACCACTAAGCTATCCCTCCTCCCTATCTGTTTTACACTACCCATAAAGCCCTTGCTCCTTTTCCTATGATCACTTTTTTTTTTCTTTTTAGTGTAGGAGAGAGATTGAAATAACAGGCTGTGTGACTAACCTGTATGGTAAAATATATAAAATACCTAAATAACTTCCTGGATAAATGTGCTTGATTCTTTTTTTCCTTTAAAACCAAAATGGCAGTAATAGTATATTTACCAGGATGAACTGGAGTCTCTGCACTTTAACAGTTCAGTGATAGTCATTTTGACACATTGTTTTAAAGGTACACTGCGAACATGAGTTTAGTAGAATATGGTTTGCCTTTCAAATTCATTCATATAGAGTACCTGTCCCAAAGTAATGTCTGTTTCATTAAAATTCATAAGGCTTAATACTTCTCTGTTCATTTAAAGTAATTAGGTCTCTTTGAGCAAAGTAGAAACTGTGTATGGAAAACAGTGAAATTGTGCATTTGACCGTATTTTGTATATAGGCAAACTAACTAGTAATACACATGAATGTTCTTTCACTAGCATTTCATTTGTAGTCATTGTACAGGTTGCAGCTTTATAAACCGGGACACTCTTCTGCTCTGGCAACATCCAAGGTCTGGCACAACCACAGAGGTTCCAGGATCAGAAAGTTGTGGCTTGCTGCAAGGGGGAGTGCAGCGGGGAGGCACACAGGACCCTTGTGTATGGCCCAGCTAGACTGCCCGAGGGGCTAGGAGTTGGGAAGCTGCCGGGGGAGGGAAGCCCAGCACACAGGCTCATTTGGGCTGGGGCAGGGAGAAGGCCAGGAGCTGGGAAGCCCAGCTTGCCGCTCAGCTGGGCTGGGGGGAGTGGGAGTTGGCGTGGGCGTGCAGCTCAGCTAGGCTGCAAGGAAAGCTGAGAATTGGTGTGCAGCTCTGCTGGGCTGCAGAGGAGCAAACGCCAGGAAGTCTGGGGGGGCCGCAGGGTAGGGGGTGGGGCCAGCAGAAGTGAGGTAAGAAACAACCTCCCTAGTCTAGCAAAATCCCTCATCTGGGACCAGTCAGGTGCCGGGGGTCCCGGACCAGAGATCTCATGTAGCTGTTGCAAGTAATTATTGGGGGGGGACCCCTCAAGACAGATGTTATTTTCAAATTGGCCATGACTCCTTAAATTGATGGGGACTAATGCTCTCTCACATACATTGTGTCTACTGAGAAGTAACTAGGTGAGATGTAGCTACAGTGATCCCTGCTTTATAATTTGAACATGTCTCACTTAGGCTATAATTGTTGCATTTAACTAGTGACCCCCATCTGGGGTCTGTATGGAGCCGCTACACTCCAATGATTTCATTGTGCCTCAGATGGTGCAGTCTGCTTCTCTAGTATCCCTGCTTCGTTGACAGAACTGGGGCCACGCTTCACCTTCTTTATGCCTACTTCAGAATGAGGTGCCCATGGAGGCTTAGGGAGAAATCCTTGTACTATCCTGAATGCAAAGACTGGAGTTATAAGTGGACATTGTCAAAGAGCATGGAGGAGTATCACAGTATTGTTTCAAAGCAGGCTTTTTACTAACAAAAGATTTCTGAATGTGACCAGCCTCAGGTGCTAGCCCATCAAAGATCAACTAAACTTAATTCCAGTGTCGGCTAAGGGATATCTATCTAAGACTTGACCTTTTCCAGAGAGTGAAAGACAAACCCTGTTTTTGACAGGAATTAAGATAACCGTGTTAAATATTTTGGGCTGTTTTCTCAGTCATTACCTTTCTTCCTCCCCCCCCCGGTAAATAGTACCTGTTCTGTGAGTGCAAACAGATTGGATATTTCACATGTAGCTAGAACTCATTGGGAACACAAAATTGCAGGAGCAATTACATTTGCATCCAAAGCCAAGTACAGGCCTAGCTGAAAGCCGTCTGACTTGTCTGATTTTCAAAAATGTTGCACACCTCTCATCTCTCCCTTGCTTTAGTGGGAGCTGCGAAGTGTTCATTATAAAATCAGACCATCAGTGTACACCTGACATCACTGTGCTTTCCTAATCACCATTAGTAGTTCAGATGGAAGAAAACAAATTTTGAGGATAATAGGGCGGTAGATGTACTTGCAGACCTACTGCAACCAAAGAGCCTTTTTGGTGATGGGATGTTGAGTGATTCTAAATATAGCCAGTCACAGTGAATCTACAGTATAGGGACAGGGCACTGACAGATGATGTATGTCTGTTAAGAACATCCGAGAGCAGGGTCTAGAACCAGAAGTTCAACAGTATACCAAGTTGAAATACACATTCATGCTCTGTGAATGAATGTCAGATGTATGAAATTTTCAGTCTTCCCAACTCACTACCACAAAAATTAAATCTGTGAAATGACAGAGAATAGCTGAAGATATTGGAATAATTATTCCTCTTAAGCTAGCTGTTCCTTATAATTTGTAAAGAAATTGTCTTGGGTTGTTGGCATATAAAGCACAGAAACATTCTCAAGCTTTCTTATAGAAGAGGTACTAAAGTACAGTGTCAGTTGGGCCACCCTGGTGTACATTGTGACTGGTGCTGTTCACCTTTCTAATACCTATGGAATGAAGTGATGTGAGATGCTGTTTTTAAGTTTGGATTTTCTTTATAAAATGTATGTATCATAGTATGGATACCAAGGTCTGAGTGCATGCGTGTGTGTGCACATATGCACGCATGCACATACGTATGTATGCATGAATGTGTGTGTGTCTGTGTGTGTGTCTGCTTCTAGGCTGTTAAGTGTCAGTGAAATAAAAATGTATTCAAAATACTTAACTCAAAAATAGAAGGTGGAAAAAATTATTCTATACAAAGCCTTGTCTGGACCACTTTAGAGATACTTCTATTTTTTTAACCCTTCTATAAATATTTGATGGCACTTGAAATATTCCTGCAATAAAATGTGATTTGTGTAAAGATTAAAAAAAGATTTTGTAATGTGAAACAATGAAAGAAAGTAATGTAATTTTTCTAAAAAACAAAAACAAAAAACAAATGAACGAACTTTGTATTACTTTGTTGATGGAATTTGTCTATTGTCTTTGAAAAACTTTTTATTTCATTGAATGTGCCATAGTAGAAATGTGGGGGTTTTGTTTTATTTCCTCTTCTTTTTTAAAAGAGTTTTTAATGAAAAGAATATAGCTATTTGTGTTACGACATTCCAAAATGCGAGACATAGCAGAATCATGATTACAATAATTTAGTAAGCTTTGATCATTGTTGCTTTTTTGCACATGTTCTTCATTCCTCTATAGTGCAATATGTACATAGAGCACTTGCGGGTGTAACCTTATCCCTCAGGGAAAAATACATATTTGTACAGGATTTTTTTTTTTTTTTACTTTCTTTTCCTAAGGAATGTCGATTGAATCACTTGTTTGTTGTTGAGGGGCAGCCAGATAATAATCCTAAAGCCACTGTCATACAAATTGTTTAATCATTTTGTGCCCTTTTTTATTTAAAAAGAGAAATAAAATTTATTTTCTGACAGTTCTTTGTGCTGATTGGTGACGAAAAGGGTAAACAAATACGCACCTTATGATTGACTTAACTGTGAATGACAATCCATCTTGTTATCAACAATAGAAGCCCTATTATTCAAAGTTGGGTTTAAGAGTCAGAAACTAATGTGCTCAGGGATCAACTAAAACTCTTTGACAGGGTGGCCAGTACTACTGGGACAATTTGCTTTTTGAAAAAAAAAAAATCAACATCCCTCCAAGGCATGAGTGAACTGTGTAGAACTCTTATGTGTCTAAACGCCCCATGTGTGCCTCGTTTGAGTTTCTAGCCCGTTGCTCATCAATATTATTTATTAAAAAAAGAAATAAGGAAGGAATAGAACTTTAAAAATCATGCCGAATTTTGTAAGTATTCTTGGAAAACAAATCATTACTCAGATTTCATTTCAGGACCACTGTTCACCATTATTTAATCATAGGAGTGTTTGTTAAGATAAACTTTGATGTTTTGTAACAGAAAATGAACCTTCAGTGCTTACATTATAATTCTTAAAGAGAACAAGTCAGCTTTTCAGATGCACTATGAGTAGATATGCTATGATTATTCTGTCTTTACATTGAGTCACATAGCACAGAACACCATTAAACCCAGAAGACTACCAGGAAAACAAGGTATTAGACCTTCCTTGCAACTGCTCTATGTGCTTCACTGTAAACCAAAATTAGGTAAAGAAGCCCTATACCACCTAATAGCAGGAAACACAAAAGGTTAATCTCTCAGTGCCAAAGCTCTATGGATTTAGTGTAAGATTTTTTCAAAGGTGTCTATATTGAGTCCTGGAAGCTCTCCAGAACTGGTCAAGTTGTTGCTTTGCTATCTTTTGTACCTAAAATAAAAATAAGCAGAAGATTAAGGTAAGCAATTACAAATACAATGGGCAAGATTTTGAGACTCTTTAATCAGGGCAAGAAAAGTGATTTCTCAATATCGTACCTATGAGATTTCAATTATTCTTTTAAAAAGCATAGTTTCTCCAGTTTCTTGGGGATATTCATTTTATCTTTGCCCGTATAACACAAATCCCAATTTTACATTTATGTAAAGAAAGAAATCTCACGAAACCTGTCTTAATCAACCATTCTGCAAGCTTATGTAGTTGATTTTCCAATGTACACAGGTTTCAAGACAGGAAATTGCCTTATAAAGGTTCGTCTCTTTCTCAGCTCTCGTTCTGTTTTGTTTTTATTATAAGGAATCCCTAATGCTGATCCTAACCATAAAAAGACTAAGGTAGTGTTCAAAAGATAGTTATTGAAATAGATGTCATCCTTACTGTTCATATTTGCAAATTATTCACAATGTTCTATTCAATATGTACAGTTTACATGATAAAATGTATGTCTGTATTTGAATACTCCAGTCATTGGTGCATGTATTTTCTTGGGCCCACGATAGAGTAAACAATGGATTTTTTTTTTTTTTTTGATCCATTAGAAATTTTGAGCAGTCGGGGCAAAAATAGTTTGTTAGACTGATGATGAAAAAGTTTGAATTTTTTGGCAAATCAATAAGTTTTTTTTAAAATTGTTTTGTTTTCAAGTATTTCTAAAGGTTTGTATATTTCAGAATAAAATTAAAACATTTCAAAACAGTCATTTTCAATGGGGACGATTTTTTTCAAAAAGTCAAAACATTTGGATTTTTTAAACTATTTTTCCAAAGCAAATCATGCACTCAAATCAACAAGAGTTCACAAAACAAGTCTGCATGCTTCTCAAAAAATGTTTGCATGGATATACTAATGATTGGCTTAGACAGTTCCTATCCTTCAGAGTCAGGGACATTTAACTGATGTTGAAACTAGATTACCACTAAAACTGGTCATATAGTCTGTAATGAATCATTTATTCTACAGTTTGTCTCTGTGTTTGAGTCTCCCACAGACAAATAATGTATTTTATGATAATTAGTTACAGGAAAAATTACTATATAGTATTCTGAAATAATTATTAAGGAGTTTTATTAAATATTTGACATTTTAGCTGTGCTGGCTGGTTTTGATTGTGACACACAAAACACACAGTATATTTATTTTCCCTAACTGGAGAAGTGCTCCTCTTAGAATTGCATTTTTGTGATGAATTAATATTTATTACTTTAAAATTCACCTCTTATGAACATGTATATTAGTGTGATCTTTGCTTGAAATTCCTGCCACTTAAGTCATTTGGTGGAATATTCAGGAAAAGCAAACATACAAGGAAGCCAAATGCAGTAGGAAAAATATTAATTTTAAAATTTGAAATAATCAGTTATAGAAAAATGGTTACAGTATTCACTCAGCTCCCATTACTATGTACCATAGCAACCCAATATAATGCTGTTAAGACTCCACTAGCTTAATGGGGGGGAGGGAATATGTAACATTTAACAAAAGGATACTTGCTAATAATATCTATTCCATTCTTTGACCTTTATTCAGGTATTTAAAGGAACTTTAACACCATAATAAAAGCAGTATTCTACCCTTAATTTCTTATGTGGAACTGCCAGTGACAGAAATGTGGAGGTTTTGCCTTTATTAGAGATAGAATATAGCAGTTACTTTCTACAGCAATAAATAGATTTTATCCAAATATGAAATAAAACACTAAATGTTTAGCCCCTTTACATTATGAAAATAAAAATGTATGAAAATTATGACTATGCAGGCAATCAATATATGCTCTTTACGTTTATGTTTTGCTGCCACAATATTCACTAGGGTATCTTTCCTCACAATCTCATTACCTTTTGAAGCTGCACTTCACAAGAAATTTGTTTAGCTTGGCATAATATGTATGACATCACACTTTATTTTTAGGCAACATCTGCATATTTTCCATGCAACATCTGCATATTTTCCATGTTTATTTCTGCTTAGTATACTGATTTCCCTCCCCCCAACTATCCTAATGTAGAAGCATAAATTTTATAATTACTTGCAATCTCTTTAATTATGATACCTAAATGCAGAGAATTCATAAGCAATACAGTGAATTTTGTTTCACAAAATGCATATGTACTGTAAATATCTTTCTAAAATCCAATTTTTCCTTTTTTTGTATATAATTTTGAAACAATTTATAGAACAGTGGTAAAAAATTTTACTATTAGGACATTAGCTGGCTGCTTCTTTATATGTAACTGTATTGTCTGCCTGCTCCTTTTATGGAGACGTGTTTTTGTATTGGATGTTTGGGCCAATGGGAGGCTTCAAGCTACAGTGTATTTTCCCAATTTAAATATATTTAACATATGACAAACCCCAGACAAGGCTTTTTAAAATGTTTAAAGAACTGCAGTGTTAGGAGGTTTATCTGCAAACTGATTTCAATGTTGTCCATTTTTATGGCACCTTTAACAATATTCTTGTTTCCAAAGTTCAAAAAAGGTTAAAAATACTCTAGCCATAATTGAATGTCAAGCAATAAAAACAAATGACTTTTTGTGCATAGATTTAAAAAGAAATACAAATTTTAGACATCTGCATGTAAATGCAATCTCTTGTTTACTGCTTTCTTAAACTTGAGCAACTGATTCCTTATTTTACTACTAATTTAAGGACTTGTAATGGCCTGTAAACATTTTCTCTTGCTCTGTTCTTTCAACTTTATCTTCGTCTCTGCTTTTGAGTCATAATATTTAATGTTGTTCTGCTCACTTCTATACAGTTAACTTTTTTGCTTTCATCCTGTATAGATAAAGTTATGCTATAAACAGCCTACACAGTGCAAATATTTATCTGTTTATCAAATACCACATTATGCTGTATAATATCTGTTTTACTATATAATCTATTTTAGACATAGCTGTTTAGAACTAGAGTGTGCTATTTTTGTGTTTTTTCTGACGTGTGGTGCTAGATAAGTTACTTTTGTGAACAAAAAACAAACCCCTTTTATTCCTAGACAATGCCACCTTTGGGTCTTGTTAATTTCATTGAGTAATAAAATCTACATATGCCCAACAAGTACCTGTATCAGAGTACTCGATTTGGGACATTTTTTTCTCCTTAAGTGCATAGTGTCATTATATAATTTATTCTGTAGTATATTTAATGAGGAGAAAATTACTTCAACAGTATAGATATTTGATATCAAATATTTTTTCTATGTTCATATTATGATAAATGTGTTAACTCCAGTTCATTATCGATTGGGTTGCTAAAATGTTTCACTGCATATCACATCATATGAGAAATATGTAGCCAGTTCCCCAGTATACAATATTGTCTAGTTTAAGGGTTGAAGTAGGTAGTAATTTGGCAAGTTGGGGAATCTCTTTTACATGTGAGATTTATAGACCTAAACCTACTAAGTTCTGGGTGCCTTCTACTCCCTAAATCTAACAAGGTTTGAGGGCACTGATAATTCCAGAAGCCACGTGATCATGCCCTGATGCGTAATTCCAGTTATTGTCAATGGGAATGTTCTGTGAATCTATCATGAAACATTGATGTCCAAATTCTGACCTCATGTATGCATATGTGATTCTCATTAAAACCACAAGTGCAAGTTCAAAGATGGATTTTGACACATAAATGTAATGCAGACATGGAGTTTGCAGAATTCAATCATAGAACTTGATATTTTCTTAATTTTTATACATACCTTATCTAGAAATCATACCTTTTCTTTGAGTTACTCTTCACTTCAACTCTCTCCTCCCACAAATATTATCATTTAAATTCTTACAAAATGATGGATATCAAATATCTGAGGTAATTAACCTTTTTAAATATTTATTAGAATTTTTTCTGTAATGTTACTGAATTTATAAGATCTTTAGCAAAGATTTTTGAGCAATTTATTAAAGATAATGTTTCTGTTTACTGCACTTTTTGATAACAGAAGGTAGTGAATTTTAAAGTCATGATTCTTGGCTTCCATGCACTGCTTTTGTACCCTCAATGCAAGGATTTTTTTTTTTTTACAGTAACATAGTATTGTCCTGAAAATAAATACAAACTTTATTGCACCATGGGGTATATTTTCATAAGTAGAAAATTTAATTGCAAACATTATCAGGACAATTTAATTTTAAAACCTCTACAGTGTTATTTAAATGCAAGCCATGATGATTTTATTTCTAAATCCTTTGTTGACTTATAACACCCTTTGATACTTTCAAATAGCAATGATGGATCTCTTAAATTTTTATCTACAAACATGTACATCATAAACTTTATACTAGGAAAATGTTCTCCCAGATCGTTTAGGTTTCATTGTATTATAAATTATGCAAACCCTCTGGTTATATTTTCTTCTGTAACTAAATGTTTAAAGTAGAGAGACCAGAGTAAGTGCTGATTACAAATATGTGTTGGTTTGATGATTAAGCACATAAACTTCACAAACCTCATTGAGTAATATACTCAATTTTCTGTAAATACATGCAAGTTTAAATGAAATTATACTGTACATGAAAATATGTGCTGTCTGTTGTGTACAGTATGTGTAAATTCCTTTTCTAGCCACAATAAAAGTGTAAGCCATCAAGAGAAATGTTAATAAGGTATTGTACTAAAACTTTGCTAATGATCTTTACCCATGATCACCTAACTTTTCTCTTTCTTGGATCTTCTTTTAAAATCACTCTTACAATAGTCTGCTTATATTCAACAGTTTATTTTACTCTGAGTCCTGAAAAAAGTATTTTGATTCATTTTGTAAATACAACTGTAAAAATAAGAGATTTAATGTTGTCTTTTAAATACTCCAATTTTCATTCTAATATGAATGTTGTTATATTGTACTTAGAAACTTGTACCTTTAATATTACATTACCTTTATTAAGTGCATTGAACACATCGATTTTAGATGTGCTTTATGTACTGTTATCCTGTAATAAAAGTTCAGCTTCTAATGGAAACGCATGTCTTACTCTTTTTGATATTAGGATTTTGTTCATTTTCTGCATTGTGTTGTGTGTTAAAATTTATTCCTTGGTGTCTGTACAGAGAGTTACAAAGTTGTTCAAGCTCTAGATGTGTCATGGTGGATTTTGTTGAATAAGTAAAACTCTATAAAGTTTGTCAGTATTGAACCCTTTGACACACATATGCATATTACATAATCTGGGTGCACATGTCCTTACCCCACAAAATTGTTTGGTGCATGCAGACTCAAGAGTAACAACATCAAGAAGTGGCTTGTGCCCACGAAAGCTCATGATACCATCTACATGTTTTGTTACTTTAAGATGCTGCAAGACTATTAATTGTTTTTTAAGTTTTTTCCAGTTACAGACTAACTCTGCTACCCCTCTGAAACATCAAGAATGTTAGCAGTGTGAGAGTGTACATATGTGATGATTGGATGCTGTCCTTAGAACCACACTAGCATGTAGTCATGGATAGTCTGTCCATGTTCAATTAGGGATGTTAAATATCGGTTAATTGAATAATCAAGTAACCTCATGACATTTTATTGGTTAGTCCCTGCGGGTGGGCCGGCCGCAACTGTATCAGAGGTAGCAGCGCGCAGAGCCAAGCGAGAGCTGGTCCGCAAGGGGAACCAGTTTAAAAACCACCACCCCTCACAGACCGGCTGCATGTTGCCCTGTGCTGCTGCTTCTGAGAAGGTGGTAGCAGTCCCTGTCTGGAGGGAGGGGGGGGGGCAGGATCTGAGCTCCCAGACACAGCGTGAGCCAAGACTGAGCCAGGCTGCCTGCCTTCCCAGATCTTAATACACTTTAAATGCAGAGCTACAGCAGGGATAGGTCCTGAACCTGTCTCAAGCCAGGACTGAGCCAGGCTTCTGGCCAGCCTGCTAAAAAATTTACTGGCAGGGAGAGAGGGAGAGGGAAATGCATGTAGTCAATAGTATTAACCTATACACTTTTTCTTATCAGGTAATCGACTATACTGTTACAGCTCTAGTTCAAATATGTGGATATGGCATTGTGAAGAAGCCAGCACTTCTGCCTATGCACCATATTTATATACGTAAAATAATGTAACATTATTTAAGAACTGAACAGTTGGGAATACCTTGATTACTGTTTCCTCTACAAGTTTAATTTAGCCCCTTGTGCATATCCATTATGATACCGTCTTTAATTACATTATCACATACTTAATTTTCCTCAGAAGCCCAACCTCATTCAATATAGAGGATGGAGACTATTCATTATTTAGTTTTCTCCTTGTTTAATGTGTGGCCCATGCCTTTTTTTACTGCACACTATCCATACTAAAGATGTTAAATATCAGTTCATTTATTAGTCAAGTAGTTGATGGAAATTCCCTCCACTAGTCAATAGGCACTTCCGCATTCCTCCTTAGAAATGTTACAAGAGCCCCTTTGAACACCACCTTGGCGTTTCAAAGCAGCAGTGCCACACAGCTGATCCCAGGCTCAGCTGTGCAGTGCTGCCTCTTTGATGTACCCTGCTCCCCTCCCCTCCCCTCCCAAGCCTCTATCAGATAAGCATTTGCTTATCAGATAGTCGACTAGTCCTTAACATCCTTAATCCATACTATGCTCTGAAGACAGAATTTTTAATATCCTTATTTTATTTTTATAGGCTTTTCTATACAATCTGAGTACTTCAAAATGTGTGCGTGCATTTATTTCACAACACTGCTATGAGGTGAGGGGTTATTATCCTCATTTTACACTTATAGAACCACAGCACAAGAGATTAAAAAAAAACATCTACAGGTTTAATCTCTCAAAACCAGAACTCTCTGGTCCAGCAACAGCTGAGGTCCATCACAAATGTTCCATGATCAGAGAGCCCTGGTGGCCAGGAGTTTGGCAGCAGGAACACTAGGGCTGGACAGCAGGGCCATTTTTCCAGCAACTATATCTGACAGTGGAGCGAGGCTGGTATCTGACAGCTCTACTTGGTTGGCAGCAGGGGGTTGGTACCCCGGCCGGGCCACTGGCACCAGCAGCCTAGTCAGAGCCAGGAGCTTTACTACATAACTCCAATTCACCCACAGAGCAATGCCATTCTGAGCATTGAATGGGCACGAGTCCAATGGGGAAAATAGTACGTGATCCTGGAATCATAGACTGTGCTAATGAACTCTCACTGAGGTTCCTGAACTCTACTAAAATAGATGGAAGCTAGGAGCATAAACACGTGTGAAGATCTGGGCCAAGGGTTGCAAACCGTTAAAAGGGGAAGTAGCTGGCCATCTTTCCTTCCACTAGGCCCAAGACTGAAATAACAGGCTGGTTCAAGTTGAAAGTGCTGTGTCTTTACAGAACTTTGTATGGAAAGCTTTGACTAGTGAGGTATTTGTTCTAGCCACTGCGATTAGTGCCTGATTCTATACTACTGGAGAGGGTGGGTAGGGGGCGGGTTTAACTGATTCATGAGAATCCAGCTCAATCAAAATTCATGTTCTAATGAAATCACTACAGAAAGGAACTAATGTAAATCAGGGCTTTTGAAATTAAAAAAAATATATTATGGAAGATTTGGACAGGATTGAAATTGTAAAAGGATTTCTGATTTCTACCTTAGAGAATAAATGGGTCAGTCCCAAAATTTCTGTTGGCCACCTTCATGCTCCATTCTACTCTGTAGTCCTTCCTCTCACAGGTTCCCTTATTCCATTATTATTACTATATTTAATCTTTATTATGGTAGTGCATAGGACCAACCAAGAATGGTGGTCCAGTCCACTAAGCACTGGACAGATAGTAAACAGTCCTTGCCCTGAAGAGTTTACCATCTATATAGAAAAGACATAGGAAAGGCAGGGCAAGAGATAACATACCTGCAGAATGAACAATGTGATAGCAAATACGTTCCATTGTGTTACTAGATTTGCCCAATACTCTGGGGTATGCTCATTTATCAGGGTTACTATTATGGGACTGGGGAAAGGTTAACCATTCTATCAGTGTGCTGTTTTTGCTTACTTATGCTCTCATATAGAGCTGAATTCTCCCTGCTGCCAATTCCCCCTCCCAATGGAGCTCTCCTGCAGGAGCTCTCCTGTAGGTTCCTCACGATGGGGTTCTTACCACCTTAGCAATACCACAGGCACTCACACCCACTAATCAGAGCACGTTGGAGAGGACTGGGTACTCAGAACTCACAAGCTGACCCCCCTCATATGTCCCTGGACTCGGCTGGCTGGGTTTCACAGCAATGCCACCCTGCACCCTCATGTGCCTTTGGACTCCATGGGCTGGATTAAACAGCACTTTAAGCTGCCATCCTCATAAGCCCCCAGGTTCAGCACCCTCTATCCCCACTTTCACGCTACAGTCATTCACTGGTAAACCACACGATGAGCAAACCCCACAGTATTTTGGGCACTACAGGGATCTTTAGCTTGGGTAAAGAAGCGTTGTTGCAGAGCAAATGGGGAAGCCAAACAACACCTCTTAAGGAAGAGTGAGCAAAAGAGAAAGAGAAGCAACCAGCTTAACAATGAAAGTTATTTATTTCTGAGTAGCGAATTGATATCAAAGTTACAATAATAAATCTGTATTGAAACAGATTACAAATGTTAGATAACCATATAACAGTTTACATAGGGCAGGGTCAGGAGGCTATGCTTAGAGAGATAGTTGATGGGAGGGAGAGAGAGAGAGACCTCACCACTCCACGGAGCTTGTACTGATCGGGGTTCCCAGATGATGATGGTAGCCGGGGGTCCAGAGGGCAGGAGACAAGCAGAACAGAGCCCCCAGCACGATCAGACAGAAGATGAAGAAGTCTCAATAGAACTGATGCAGTTTAAGTCCAGGTATCAGAACAGTTTTTCTTGGGGCAAGGATAGGAGTTTTTATAGAGATAGTTCAAAGAGAAAGAGGAGAGACCATAGAGACTGATCACCCCTGGTTATGGGTGATGTTCCTTGAATGAGCTCACAATGCAAGTAGGCAGTTTCAGTATTTTAGATGTCAATAGGATCGTTACTAGGTCTGATAATGACTAATTTGGGTGTGAGCAGGCCTGGATTCATTAGCATCTGGAGCAGGGATTTCC